CCCTTGGGCTTACCAGACCCTTAGTCCTTAACTCATCACAGCTTGTGTGGACTAAGTTAAACTCAAGAGGACACATTCCCTTATGTCTATACGAGAATAATTCTACGAAGACATAAGGTATATATCCCGAATGCTACTTGCTAGGCATATGCGGTGAATAAATTCACACGAATAGTCGCTTTCACCCCCACTTAGAACGGGTTCGGAGCTCGGGTATAGAGCCTTAGATGGAAAAGTTAAAGATCTAAAATCATTAGAAAAATGTCGTACAATTATTTATTTGAAAAATAATCAAAGATAAATAATAAGAATCGAATAAATAAATTAAAATTTAAACTTATAATTTTCGCTCAAAAAGACAACCGAAAATTAATTTCTGCATGACTCTTACTGTCCCCAGTAGAGTCGCCAAGCTGTCGTAACTGTCTTTCGGTTGGGCCCGGAATTGGGCTTCGACTTGAAATAATTGGGTTGGGAGTCACCACCGACCACTTTAAAACGAATTTAGGTGGGTTGAACACCATCTTACCTGATCTGCGTTTTTACCATAAATGTGTCAGGTTCGGGAGTCAGTTACGGTCAAGGAATGATTAGCACCCTTGAACCGCCCTTTCGGTACCAATTAATTTGCCGGTTGTCTTAGTTGCGAAAATTCGAAATTAAAATTAAAATTTAACAGACTCGTTTCAAATTACTTACAATTGATTGATTTGAAAGCGCACTCTTAGAAAAGTCAAACAAACGTGTTAGAAAAAAGGTAATAAAAACTAACAAAATAGAAACTAATGAATGGAGAAGATAAAATAAAACGAATAAAAGAAAGACAAAGAAAAGAATAATAATAAATTAACGATAATAAGTAAATTAAATAAAAATAAAGAGACGAAAAGAAAAATAAATAAAATAAAGACATAAAAAAATAAATAAAGTCCATAAAAGCAAATGAAATAAATAAAATACTAGAAAATAATGGTGAAAATAATATATACATAGTAAATAAATAAATAAATAAATGCAAGAGGGGAAAAATATAAAATAAAATTAAATAAATAAAATAGATATAAGAGAAACGAAATGATAATATGTATATATATAAAATAAATAAAAACATAAAAAAATAGTAAATATATATATAAATTAATAAAACATATAATAAAAATTAACATATATATATATTGTGTGTGTGTAATTTAAAAAATATATATACACTAAAGTAAAAAAGTTGCATAAAATGTAAAAAAAATATTACATGAAAAAAAAAAGAAAAAATAACAAAACAATTAAATAAAATGAGTAGCAAGGGAAATGTGCATATAAATAAAGTTAAATAAAAATAATAATAATTAAAACGTAAATGTAAGGGACCGAATCAAAAGTAAAAAAATGCTACCTTTTATTTCCTTTTCGAATCGTTTACAATAGTTTTGCCTTTGTATTTTCCGTGCTTTCCTCTGTATTTTATATGTAAATCCTCTGTTACAAATGGGGATGATTACATGTATTTATATGAAAAAATTAACTATTTTAGAATCCTATTAACAATATAATCCTAATGCAAGAGACTCCTTGCTCGTTATTGCACGTTTGTTGTTGTGGTTGTTGCTTTAAAATATATAGTGGAACTAGACTCCTTGCTCGGTTATTGCACGTTTGTTGTTGTGGTTGTTGCTTTAAAAGATATAATGGTGAGAGTTCTTATAGGAGAAGAAACTCTTGCTAGTTCTATCTCGTAAGAAAATAAGTGTCTACAAGGGCATTTGCTACCCTAAGGATAAAATTCGTTCTCGCATCCGAATTGGTGCGTGCGGGTCTTATCACATGGAGGAATGAGGTATTTATTAAGTTTACGCTTCAAACTATCTCTATTTGTAATAAACTATTTTCTTCTGCCTAAGACGTTATGTAGAGAATTGGTGAGTATTATGGCTCGCTTTTGGTGGTAAAAATTAGAGAATAAATGGGAATACATTGTTGTTCATTAGAGGTGCTGAGTAGGTCGAATGATGATGGTGGTATTGGATTCCGAGAAATGCGAAGTTTGTTGCTCTTTTAGCAAAACAAGGATGGAGATTAGTTATGCAACCTTCGACACTGGTGAGTAGGTTTCTTATAGTGAAATAATATCCCAATGAAGATTTCCTCACTACGAGATTTGGGTCTTCGCCTTCGTATATTTGGCGTAGTATATGAAGTGAATGGGGTTTGCTGGAGAAGGATTTAAGATGGAAAGTGAGAAATGATCACTCCATATCAATTTGGAATGATTATTGGCTTCTGATTAGGGGACAATATGGTATAGTATCCCCTCGTGTTGATATAATTGATAGAGTTTCGGACCTCATTGATGCAAGGGAAGGTAACTGGAAGGAGGATTTAATTCGGCAGAACTTCATAGATGGGAAGTGGGGTACCAGCGAAAAATTGAGTTACAGGTTTGGAAGTTTCTGTTTAACTACATTCTACAAAAATATAATCTTTTTCAACATAGAATTACAAATAATATTTGTTGTGCAAAATGCCCAAACATTATTGAGGATGGAGTACATGTGGTTCGTGATTGTCCTTTAGCGAATCAAGTTTGGTAGGCGCTGGGTTTTGCCTGGCCTTCAGATATTGTGAACGCAGATTTTAGAGTTTGGTTGGGGTGGATGCTTAAACATAATCAACCAAATAATCATGCAATGGTGTTGGTCTCTATATGGGTTTTATGGTATGTCAGAAATAAATACATCCACCAAGGTCAGATTTCAAAAGAAAGAGGAACTGATTATCTTCATCCAAGCTCAATGCTTAGATTACTCCAATGTGAATGCTTGTTTGAGGGTGTCTGTCTCTACTTCCGTGAGCCCAACCAGTTAATTTTGATGCCTGATTTTCTCGGCAAACAAAAGAAGCGTGCTAGTATGGTCAGGAGTGATAATAAGGAACCATGAAGGATTCATTCTAGGAGCTTGTAGAAGGAGTTTGAATGTTACCTCGACTTTCTTGGATGACGCAAGGGTCGCTGTTCACGCGGTAGAGTTAGTGGTGGATCTTGGTTTTCAGCGTATTATTGTTGAAGGTGACTCCCGTACGGTGATAAACAAGTTACAGTCGAAGAAGGATTCTTTTTCAGAAATCAATGCATGTATTTGGGAACCAAAGAGAAGGGAGGATTAGACTCATGCATGCAACTTTACCTTCATTTCTAGATCGACAAACAAGGCGGCGCATGTCCTGGCTGTGGGGTTGGGTTAGAAGCTGGATATCGTTTATGGGTCTATGTGGAGGAGTAAGTGGCAGAGGATAACCGTTGGGTTGAATCGCCGTAGCTGTTGGGGGGTTTTGATTGAGTGTTCTGCTGAGGCTTTATTCTTGGATTCGAGATTCTTTTGCTCTGCTCGTGCCATGGTTTTGTGCTTTGAAGGCAGAAGATAAAAGGCCATCTGTTATTTATTTAAGCTTTGCTTTCATTTGGTTTGTTTTATTAGTGTTCCATGCGTTTGAGTTTACTGTCTGGTTGTCTCCCACTTTGATTTGGGGAACGGTATTTTTTATTCCCATTTAATAAAGCTGTCGTTTAAGATTAAAAAAATGAATAATATAGAAATAGTAGATATTTAGAAATATCTATTAAATAATCTAGATATTTATAATGTTTAAAATTATGTCTAGAATTATCAATAGAAAAATCTAAATATTTATAATATTAATGGCTAAAATATTTTTTTAGATAAATAATGGCTAAAATATTGACATGTGTCAAGAATTCAATAATCACTAAAATCTATAAATAAATATGAGATTTATCATTATTGAAGAGAAGAAAAATAGTAAGGTGTGTGTGTAATATTGTAACTGTATCATGTGTTCATAAAAACATTATCTTCTCTTGTAATCATAAATTTATCGGTTAACCATTAGTTTATTTAAAGTTTTTAATTGTGTTAGTTTTAATATATTATCAACTTTTTTCGTCTAAATGATATATGATCAAACATATTGTTTAAGTATTATTATGCACTAAGAATTTATAAAATAAAAGGCTAACAAACATCAAAGAATTGGTATAATATAAATGGTAGATTCTAAATCTTGAACTCGACAAATTTTTAACAACACATGACCAATTATCGAAACGGAGGAATATTTAGAATCTAAATGTTTCATTTACGCATGGAGCATAGAATTTTTTTTATTTTCTGATTTAGTTTTTTAGTTTCTTAATCTGCTTGATTTTTTGGCGACTTCTTTATCTGTTTTATTTTTTTGGCGATTGTTCAGTTCAATAACATTTTATTTACTTAAAATACAATGCAAGATACATATCCAATCATTTATTTGCATAATAATAAAGTAAAGTGTAGAGAGCGAGCATGTTGAAGCCATGCATCTAAAATTTAATGTATATATATATATACACATGTGCGCGCGCGCTTCCCTCATCTCAAGAAGTGATGAGGTTGAAGAAAAAATGTTATATATATATATATATATATATATATATATATATATATATAATTGTTTGAAAATTCATTTTCTTGCCAAGGTAAAACATCAACTATAATTCATATGTGTGTATCATAGTGAAGAATTGGTCGATTTTCATGTCTTTTTAAATGAATATTTGAATCGTTCTTGTGTCTTAGAGTTACATTTGACAATATTTCTTGGGGCATTTTCTACTTTATGAAAAATGTCATTTTAAATGTTAAATGTTAAATTTTAAATTCTTTTTCTATTTTTATATATGTGAATATTCCGGCTAGACCCAAAGTACTATAAAGATTATTCTTTTAATTGAAAAGCATTGATTAAAAAGCTAAGCACCCAAAAATGAAAAATCCAGTCAATATATATTGTAATAGGATTTACTTGTTAAACTAGTGATCTTTACATAAAAACTCCATCATCCATTTTTAATTTTGAAAAAAAAAATTACAAGAGAGACTAACCTTACACTTCCTCACAAACATCAATGTAAAATCTAATCATCTCGACTTCGTAGATTTTCATTTCCTTTTGTTTTCAAGTCATATTCATACTTAGAATTTGGAAAAGACAAGGGGACTGATTTAATCTCTCTTGTCTCAGTTGTTGTTCAAGATCAATGTTGTTTTTACTTCCAATTTGATACCCCAATGTCGTGTCAGTAACCTGGAGGAGTCTCAGCTCACGACCATGAACTCATCTCTTGATGTCTTTGCCTTCCGTTTGGTTGTCGTCATGGAACTACTCGGCATGCTACTGTTGATCATGTGACAGGACACCGTCGAAGATGAAAAGAAGCTGTTGGGTCCAGAAACCGAGGTTAAAGTGGGAATCTCATGTTTCTTCCTCGACATGTATTTTGTGGGTCCCAAAGTCAATTCCATCTCACTTTCATCTATGAATTTGTGGTCATCATCCGCCGGATGTTCCGAGTCAAGTCTGGTTCTTGAACTTTGATGATGAATATAGCTTCCATTGATGGGTCTACTGGTTTTCATGTTTTTCATCAATGTCTTCTGAATTCTATATAGACGATGAAGCTCATAGACCTGGTCAAACATATCAACGTAAGCTTTTAGAAAGACATATATATATATATAAGAATAAAGTTTTCAAAAAGAAGGAAATACTGAGATTAATGTACCTGATGTTTGAATGTTTCTTCATGTTTTAAGATTGCCATCCTCATAACCTCCTTATCGTACGGTCTAAGAAGCTTCTCCGTTGTTTGCATGTTCAAAATCCCAATAAGAAAAAAATATAATATCCAGGGATAAATAAACAGGGTTGAATTTGGGGGTGATATGATTGATGCCTTTCTTTCCTAGTAATTCTGCTTAGAAAAGGTAGATTACAATATCTAGACTTTATGCTCAATCAACTCTCGCTATTTCCACCTGTAAAACAAGCCATATTCAAAGAAAAAGATGAGAAGAAAAGCTGATAAATTGGGCACTAATGTATGAACCCGTAAGCCGACACTTAGTCCGTAAATTTATGGGTCATAGATTGAAATCTAGTAGTATATATTTTCATTATTATTAGATAAGAAAGAAGCTACTTTTAGCATAATTGTCTAGTTCCATAAACTTCCAATACAAAACATATCTTCCATGATGAATGGTGAATATATACATCACATGTGGCTCCAATGCTCTTTGTCTTCCCCATATGACTATGATGGGGGAAATAACCATTATCATATATATATATATATATATAACAAATAAACATCTAAATAAACTCATAATCTTTTTATTTTCTTCTTGAAATGAATTCATATGCAAGTAAAAGGAAAATAAAAGGAGCATACAGTATTCTAACCTGTGAAGGAAAGTTTCAGCAGTATGAGAGGAAAAGGAAGAGAGAAATTGTAAGGAGAAAAGGGCAAGAAAAGTTGATATATATAATAAACTGAAGTTGAAACCTTAAGTTGAACGGCAGCTTGCCTCAAAGCATTCCTTGAAATATAGTATATATATTGAAGCAGAAGAATGTAAGATTCCTTCATATGCAGAAACCGAGGAGATGTGCGTCTGGGGTTTGAGGCATGCCAAACAAATCCCAGTCCCCTTAACCAATGCCCTTCAACTTCTGTGAAAAATATGTCTCACTCCTCCAGCAATGCTTTTTTTTTAACACAACTATTGGATATAATAATACCCAAGACTCCATTTGTTTTTATTTATTCACAATCCCCAAAACCTATTGCAAGCAATACAAATATTTATTTCTTTTATATTCGTTATCTAATTTTGTGTGAAGCATAAATATCGAATATAGTCTTAATCTTTTTTGTTAGTGGATGAGTCGCAGTCGCATGTGCCCAGGAATTGTATATCCCTTATGCACCATATAAATTATCTCTGTCACACATATGGAGGAGGTTAAGGTGACGCTTCCAGGCCTGCTGACAATTTACATCTTTTCCGTACGATAGTTCCCCAAAGACTGGAAATCTGGATTTCAATAAGAGAAAATAACTTCAAAATGTCTTATAATATACGATTTTAATCAACTTTTTTTGGATTTGCAAAAATGACCAACAAATTCGCAACGCGAACTCTAATTTCGCAACCTAGTTTCCAAATTCGCAACGCGAATATGTAAATCGCAACGCGAATATGTAAATCGCAACGCGAATTTGTAAATCGCAACACAGAAGTCAAAATTCGCAACACAGAAGTTAAATTCGCAACGCGATAGTCAAATTCGCAACACTGAAGTCAAATTCGCAACACATAAGTCAAATTCGCAATGTGATAGTCAAATTCGCAACGCAAATCTGTAAATCGCAACACAGAAGTCAAATTCGCAACGCGATAGTCAAATTCGCAAAGCGCGTTTATTTTCGCAACGCGAATTTTATTTTATTTTCGAATTCGAAACACAATATTAATTTCGCAACACAAATGTAAACAGTATTATCGCAAATCATAACCTAAAACCCTAAATCACAACCTAATCTCGTCTCCATCTCTCACTCTCTATGGCGACATCCGTCCCCATCTCCGACGAAATCCGTCCCCATCTCCGGCGAAATACGTCTATCTCCATCTCTCATAGCAACCCTCACAACCATTCACGGTCAGAAATGGAAAATCAACCGCCGAGGGTTAGTTTTTTTAATCTCTTATTTTTATTTTAAAATTTTTGTATTATTATTAGATTTTTCTTATATTGATGATAAATTTACTAGTAATTTCAATATATATTGATTAACCATTTCACTGAGATTGCTTCGTAAGTTCATTCGGTTGCTGCCAATACAGCTAAACTGTTTAGTCTTTAACCATGTGAAGTTAGTATTTGTCTTTGTTTTTTGGTTGAAGTAATGCAATTCATTCAAGTTTCAATTTGCAGAATAAGAGTTGTTTCTGAAACTTAAATTCGCAACGCGAAAATGAAAAGCGCAACGCGATTTTAGTTTCGCGTTGCGATTTTCATTTTCGCATTGTGAATTTAAGTTTTAGAAACTACTCTTATTCTGCAAATTGAAACTTAAATGAATTACATTACTTCAACCAAAAAACAATGATAAATACTAACTTCACAGTGTTGCTAATTTAAGTTTCAAGAATAAACTACTACTCTTTATGTTGTCTTTGAACTTGCACTAAACCTATATGTTGTCCTTTTATGTTTATATAAATGCTTACTTCTGGAATGTTATCTGATTCATTTTGTGAACTATGATGGAATAATGACTTGGGTGAATACTGTGCTAGTTTGAAACATATTTGGCTTTGTTTTCACTGTTTAATACCATGTCTGTTTATAGTGTATAATTTGTAGTTTTTGGTATATCTAACTTGGTATGTTTATTGTTTTTGTAGAAATTTTTTTCGGCTCAATTGACCTTAAGGAATAAATTAAGCATAGCCACTAAAATTGTGTCAACGCTTACACCTCTACAAAGAAAATTGTTTGAGGATACTTTCTTCGGGCCATGGCTGAAAGTACAACATTCGAGTGGAGATGCTATGTTGACACATTTGTTTTTTCAGACCATGACTAACGATCTACCTGAGAATATACAACGTGGTGATGAAGAGATATGGTTTCATTTTCCTCCGGCGTATACTTGTTTTGGGCATGGAGTTTTGCTTAATCACTGGTCTACGCTTCGGACACGATGAAGTAACTCGGTACACTAGTCATATCTCCCGCCCATCATGGTTATCTCGGGTTTTTCCTAAGCTGGCAAAGTCGAAGCCGAGTTTACATGTCGATGACTTGAAGAGATTATTTGTTAAAGATGGTTTTACTCGGATGGATGACCTTGATGTTGTCCGAGTATGCCATTTATTACTTTTGCATGCCGGCTTTTTAGGCAAAGAGGGCAAACAACCTATTTCTGAGGACCTAATATTATTGGTAGAGGACCTAAATGCATGGAACATATTTCTGTGGGGTTCATATCTATGGAAAGCTACCTGGAAGAAGTTGTCATCTGCCTTTGAGGACCGAAAAAGTTTTCGGGGCGATGGTTCTAAATACACTTTGGCATGCTTTATTTGGGCCTTTAAGGTTAGAATATATAATGTTTCCAAATTTATAATTAATTATTTAACAATTACTGATGCTTGTGTATTATATTGTTTGTAGATTTGGATATTTGAGGCTTTTCCCATCACGCGGGCATATGCGATAAAAAATTCAAATGGTATTCCTAGGGCTATTACCTGGAAGAGGATCCACATGTTGGATTGGGAAGAGTTACTACCATATACGACGATGAATGATGTAAGTTAACACACAAATACTACTATATAGTTAAACAAGTTATTACTAGTATACATTTAACTTTGTTTGAGCTTTTATATTGTTAGGAGGCCAACTATCCATTACAGAGGCTGACATCCACAGAGGCTGAGCTTGCCACTGATTGGTGGCAGCTAGTAAGCGGTTTTTGATGGACGATGATGAACCCCCCCTTCGAGAGCCCCTGACGATCGGGCTTCCTTTTACAGCTCGACACCCGAAGCCATCACACTGACCCACCTCCACCATCACCTATTCCATCACATCATCGAGCCTCTTCTCCACCATCACCTCATGATAGGCGACCGAAAACGAGGCCATGGCATTTATCTCCCTGTTTCTACCTCCACCGGATGAGTTAGGGGAGTTACGTGATGAGGTCGGTACTTTGCGTCATGAGGTCGATACTTTACGTGAAGACAATGGTGCATGGCGTGATGAGGTACGGTCTTTACGTGGTGAGGTGGATGTTTTACGCGATGACAATGGTGTGTTACGTGATGAGGTATCTACTTTACGTGATGAGGTAGCCGCTCTACGTGAGATTGTTTCATAGTTGCAAAATGAGGTTCATACTCTACGCAATGAGGTAAATTTGTTTAATACTATACTAAAAATGTAAATAACATTTTTTGGCATTATTTATTTATTTATTTACTGATTTATGTATTAATTGTTTTTCAGCAGCCCGATAAGGCAGATGCTTTACGTTGGGTTTTTCTTGTACGATGGGGTTCACGCATCAGACGTCTGCACGTGTCATTACGTCTCCTTTCACCCACTAGTGCCAAGACTCCGTAAGAAGAAGCCCGATTCACCTGTCATCGTTCAAGTGGCCCCTCCCACCGTTCAAGAGGCCCCTGTCATCGTTCATGGGTCCCTCCCACCGTTCAAGAGCCCGATTCACAACACGTCATTTGTCGACATATTGATAAACTCCCACCCGTGCCCGATATAATGGATGTGTGTTGGCTTTCGTATGACTTACCGACCAGTACCATTCCTCAGAAGAAGAGGGAAACACTACCCGACACAATTATGGTTAATACCCTTTGGGCTAAGACCGCAGTTGATTTTTATCTACATGAGCAAAGCCAGGGGTGTTATTCTGACATATACAAACTCGACGATGTTATGCATTTGTTTCTTGATCGGTCTTGGTGGGGTATTTTATTAGGGGTTGAAGATAATAGCTATTTCGAAGGGGGGTAAGTCTTATATTCTTCTTATATTGCATTTTGATTAATTTTTTTTAAATTTATTAATAAATTCACTAATATATGTATTTTTTTATAAAACAACATATTGATGCATGGGTGTCACGTCTTCTAGTAATAAGGATATTGAAGAAAATAAAAAATACTCGATGGACTATTATGCCGACTTCTTTTCACGTAGCTCACTTGAAGGATCCGAGAGATTCTTCATATACGTTGGGTAATGGAAAAGCTAAACTTTATCCTGCATGGT